CAACGCCCTTTCAGCCGTGACGCCGCTTGTGCTGTACCCGTTCGGCTATCCAGGCTTATTGGCTTTCGCAATTATGGATGTGCCATGAATATGAGAACACTGTGACATCATTGAGGCAGTTCAGGAATCCATGTTTAACCCTCCTCTTGAGGGTCAAAAGGTTATCAGATACTTACTCTTCGCACGTCAGTGGAAAGCACATTTCACAGTCCTTTTAATAAAGTGATAAAAATGGTAGGTCAGCGCTGAAACAAAAAAGTTTTTCACTCTGTCATTAGGCCATGTCTTTGGATTTTACATCGATAGATTGTACATACGATAGTGTTAATTTCATTATAATAATCAATATTAGCAGTAAGTGGATCCCAGTTTTGCAGACAGGTTTACCAGCGCGTGTTGGGGTGCTAGTTTGATATGATTGTGCAGACCCGGTTTTACAGGGTATTGCAGGCAGGTTTATCAGCATGGGTTTGGGTGCTAGTCTGCTAGAGTTCAATGAGATTACACAGGTCCGGTTTTGCAGGGCTTTGCATGCAGGTTTATTAGCGTGGGTTGGGATGCTAGAGTTTGATGAGGTTGCCACACAGTCGGCAGATTGCTAGATTGACCAGATCGGGAGATTGCACGCAACACATATCATGGACTTGACTCGTTTGTATACATCGCAAGTGTTCAGAAATTTCACCGATTTTACTGCATATAGCTATCAAACGCAGCTTTTTATAATATCTGGTGTATGCACATTTGCCAACTGTCTGAAGTGTACGTAGTATGGACAAGTAGTTTGATTCACTAGACAACGTAGCCAAAGCACGCTATCTACAGAAACTTGCGTGCATTGGGAATCGACACCCGTACGAGAATGGAGCGAGGACCACAATTTGTGCCCATCACGTACTTATTTGGATCTCGTGAATTGACTACCTAACATTCTAGTCGAGTCCATTTTATACTCTCAAGAACTTTCAGAACCACAAAAGCCTGGATGCCTACGATCGACTGTTCTGAGGTTGGGTAACTTGGGTTAGTGGTGTATCAGTCTAGATCTATCATGTGAACAGTGAGAGTCCCACCTACGTTATCCGAGCACGTGTTATGCACTCCCAGTCTCTGATTATACCATCTATTTATCCGTGCATGGGTCACGATGAGAGAATATGGAACAGGCACCATGTCAGCACACTGTAATTGTAAAGCCGGGCTTGGTGAATTCTGTTCACACGTTGCCTCGGTGCTATTTTATGTATAGCTCCAAGAAACGGTATTGCTATGGTTAGAATACCGTTTCAAATTCTTGCCCATAAAAACGTGTAATTGGCTCGGTATCCAAACATCGACAGAGCTAGCGTCACATGTAATAGCTCAAACAAATCTATAAACCTCTGGCTTGCTCGCGGTAACTGGGCGCTACTTATTTATCGAGTTATGCCATATTTTCTGAGATTTTAATTGGATGAACACAACAAGAAAGCCGCCATGTTCGGTGCGACTAAAATCGGCAATGGACCTGATTTTCACAGTGCGTAGGCCTAAACACAAGGCAAGTACATATCTTCGCAATGATAATTATTAAGTTGTTGTCGATTGATGTTTCCTGGTTTTCAATGTTTAAATATTTATATATATATATACGAGTATATGATGCTTATTTATGCTCGCGCCAACGCGAGTTGCAACGCTATGGTATGTTATGTCGTTTCGGGTTTTCCGCGTTCCGATCGAACAGCATGCGCACTGCAAACATGGCGGTTGGTTGAAATTTTGGTTAGGCTCTTGAAATTTACACTGTGCACAGCGAACTAAGGTATTAGTTTTAATAACAACGCTGGAATACTATAAGGTGAAGGTTATACTTGATACAAAACAAGGCAGAAATGCTTAGATGATTATTTTATTTGAGATATACGTAATTGTTCGGTAGTTTTTGTAGAGGTACACGATTTTCCAATGGATGGATGTCAGGCTGTATATTGACGTTAGTCACACAGCCTGGATGGGTTATTTTATGTAGAGTATGCTGCACGTGCAAGAGAAATCACCACCCCCACTCAACAACTGACTACTGGATGCCGGCGATATATGTATATAAGTGTAAATGTGTAGCAGCATGCGCTGTGCGTGCGGTGTACCTGTGTGTTGCAGAGGAACATTTGACCGGCATTTACAGGTAATTATCGGCAATACTAGGCGAAAGAGAGTAGAGAAACATTAAGACCTGTTGGCTTTTGCGGATCGAAGGACATCAAAGGTAGATGTAGCTGTACATGTGTTACTGTGTATCTGTATGTAGCTGTACAACATTATGGCATTACTCAGTTACTGTACTTGTAGTTGTAACTTGGCTCTGACCACAGGCACTTGAAACGTTTCAATAAAATATAATGCTAAATAAATACGAAATCTAATACCGTACTAGTACTACAAAATTCTTAATGTTTCTATACTATCTTTCACCTATTATTACCGACAGTTTCCTGTCAATTCCGTGTAAATGCTCTATGCACACACACTAACGCCGCCATTGCTCACTGTGCACAGTGACTGTTAATATATATAGCAGGTAGGAAAGCGCTCGACTCCAATCCGCTCGACGCTCGATGAATTTCACACCGATTACAGCACAACTTTAGACACAACCATTCTACTCCATCTTTGTTTCAATTTCAACAGCAGTGTTCACTTGTTAGAAATACAGACTGTCTCTGTTCGTAACCGAGCTCTGTCACACGATGTCACAAAAACACTGGCGAAATTCGAGCGTTCGCTAACCCCGGCCACCCCACTCCGAGGTCGGAAGGACCGCATGCGCGTTCCCAAAATCTCCGGTAAAGGGGTATTTTTCGCGCGACAAAATCCGGCCCAAGAATTGTAAACAAGAGCCGCAGAGATTGGAAAATAAAGGAAAACTCATGAACAAAATGAATAAGACATAGAAAACCTCTGCTAATGGAGTACAGGTACTTAACAGAGGGTCAACGTTAACTTTTTATTTTCACTAAGAGACCAATCGTCAGGGTTCTACCTCCAGGATGAAATTCCAAAACAGGGGGGAGGGGAGGGTAAGGGGGAGGGGAGGGGAGGGGTAAACTAAGGGGGTCCGGGCGTGTTTTTTAACCTAGGGCCACTATATTAATTAATACGTAAAATCGGCGCACGAAACAACCATATACGGTAATTTTGGGTTCTTGTATATAAAGTATATGCAGAGAGGTCGGTGTAACATTAGTGTTGGGATTCGTAGCAGGTTAACTGTTGTAACTATGTTAATGGTCTTGGGCATGGCATGCTATGTATTTCTGTAATATATACATGCCGCGGTTCCGGTCGATAGATGGGAATTTCTTGACCGACTACCCGTTGCGCTGCGCAAACTTTATTGTGGTGAATTTAAGTCGGCGAGAGCGGAGGTCATGTAATAAACGGACGCAACGAAGAAACCAGGTGGGGTAGTTCCACAAACAGGAGGCGCAACGCAAAGAGACACCCGACATGAGACGAGCACAAAACGATAGGGGAGAACCCAACATGGTCACGTGGCAGTAACTGAGGAAAACCACTAAGCCCTGACCTAAAAATATCTCACTAGCCCTAGACCCCAGACCATTGTATGAAAAATCTGTGCATCGCGATGAATTTCTAACTAAATTCCTCTGAAATTTAACTGTCAACTTGCAAAGTCTGTACACACCCATACAGATACCAGCTGGCCATTCTAGCGCTGATTTACGCGTTCTCTTCTCTCTGCGCTTAATCTGTCTATGTTGCCGGGCGATTTCCTACGTGCAGGCATTTAAATAATTCGTAATGGTTTCAACACCACGTGCATAACACAGGCGCGAGCAATAGTGTATCGAGTCGTCTACCTGCAAGCGGAGAAGGTTGGCAGCAAGCACGTTTACGGTATTGTTTTTGGCCGAAGGGTAGACGTGGTATCTCGCCTCCACGCCCTGCTAGAAAACTAATAGTACAGACCTACTGCGACAAACGTGCGGCCGCTAAAGAGCCAATCTAGCTTCAGAGGCATTCACCATGCCGACCGACGGCAATTACAGAAAAGGGCAAGGCAGGTCACTGCTCGTCGTCGGGTGTGGATTTAAGAGGAACAGTAAGCGGCGATTGATAGGGAAAACCGACGGGCAATGTGCCGTCGGTGACCAGTCGGTTAATTCAGAGACCCTGCAGTAATATAATTAGTTAACAGATCACTATAGTGCACAAGGTGAGCAAATGGCGGCGTAAGTGGTGTGTGCAAGTAAAGTCAATTACGACGGAATTGACAGGCCCGGAAACTGTCGGCAATAAAAGATGAAAACTGAAAGAAGAGCTATAAAAACATTAAGAATATTGTAGTACTAAGTAACGGTATTAGATTTCGTATTTATATTAGCGCATTAATATTTTATGAACAGAGTGGCATATGCCCCGGCAGCCGCATAATATCTGAGCGCGCTGCCGGTCTTACGATTTCCTAAATGCCGGCGCAGTTTTAATTATTAGACGTATATCTCAAGTAAAACGAAGGGTTAGGCTATAGAAGTTAAGGGCTTTTTCTGTTAGGGTTTAGGGTAAGTAGGGTTAGGGAACTG